AGTTTTTGATAAGTAGATTTATCTTAAACAATTCATGAATTATTCAGATTTAATTATCCACCCGCCCCAACACTTCATTATCGCTATCCACCACCAACAGTTGAAATCCTTTATAACATTATGAACGCAATAGCGGCGGTACCCAAATTGTATACACAAGTATTACATTTAATGAATAAAATGAACTTACCACCACCATTTAAACCAGTGGTTCCTGAATCTGTACCAACTCTAGTAAGATAATTTGTATTGATATAAAGATCAATGGTATTACTTATTTTGTCTAATTTTATAAGTTAAATCACTTTTGACTTTAGCTCCAACAACATTTTTCTGATTTGCAAAATGCTGATGATAATAGTAAGAAACGTAAAAAGCGGGACGAATTATTGTCAGAGGATGAATCAGAAATTGATAGCGAGGATGAAGAAGAAAGGAACGTGAGGTCAAAAAAGAAGACTAAGTCAACGGCCAATGCGTTTAGTGCAATCCCATTAGTACTACCGATTGCCACTACCGATAATCCATATGTAAATCCGTTATCGGCAGCGGATTCAGCATTTAACTTAGAAACTAATCAATCGGTAGCAGATTCAGCATTTAACTTAGAAACTAATCAATCGGTAGCAGATTCAACATTTAACTTGGAAACCAATCAATCGGCAGCCGATTCAACATCTAACTTAACCAATCAAACTAATCAACCGGAGCCACATAGTTGTATCTCAATTGAAGATATTAATGGCAACAAAATGCCAATCGAAGGTAGTTTCTTTAACCGTTATACCTTAAGTCGATTTTCGAATTTATGAATTGTACGTCTTCTTTTCAGAGTTACAAAAAATACCTGCCATGAAGAATTATTCGCCCGGAGATCCCACAAATACTCTATATATAAAAAATTTAACCCAGAGAAAAATTGAAGATAAAGATTTGGAATATCTTTTTGGTAGATATTTTCAATCACGTTCAGAAATGGAAAGGTATTGCAAATTAATGTTGTCTTTTGTATTCTTTTAAATAATCGTTTTAATATACATATGAACATTTTTAGTCAGTTGGGAATTCAATTATTGAAAGGACGAATGAGAGGGCAGGCATTCATAAAGCTTCCTAGTCTAGAAATAGCAACACAAGCCCTAAACGAATTTCACGGTTACATGCTGCATAATAAACCCATGATCATAGTAAGTAAATCGCGATTAAATATTACATGTTTTTTTCAATCTCACAACATCCGATTTTTATTACACCAGCAATTTAGTAAAGGATCTACGGAAACAAATAAGAGTTCCTGAAGGGGAGGTCGTCTAAAGAGGAGATAAATTACATGCATAGTAGACCGTCAATTAACAGACGGTGTTCTTTACAAATCTAAAATTAAAAATTTTAATACTATTAAATGATTTTTTTTTT